AAGAAATGTTTTAGTGAAGCATCGGTTACTTCTCTCGTATAGCAGACGTCCATACTCAGTCTATAGTAATATGTAGGTAAACTTATAAATATGTGAATTAGCTTAAGCTAATATACTGACCGTGCTGTCTTGTTTATCGAAAGGCGTGAGTGAGAACTGTATCTGGCTAATTTTGGACTCCTTCTCGTCGCCCATCGGCGACGGAGGCGTGGCCTCTCTGTAACACACAAAAACACACTTTTAATATCACAGTAATATTCTTTACAATTTCAAATAGATTTCAACATCAGGTAACGCATGAAAAGGTTGGTTACACCAGTATAGTGTTAAGTGTTAATGCATCGTACAACACATCTTATTTTTGAAGAAAGGTTTCATATTTTCAGCTTAAGTCATTGTCCGCCATGACTTTTTCAGAACTTGTCAACCTAGACGTATTGCAATTAAACATTGACAGATGTACTTAGAAATTAAGTTCGTAAGTACATGCCACACAGAGATTCGACCCTTTGACCTCTTCATCAAAAAGCAATCGTACTTCCTCTTAGCTATTGCGTTTTATACGAATAATATTTACATTTACATGGCGATAAATGAGGAAAAAATATGTTAATTGCAAATTGTTGAGAAAATGCATAAATAATGTTGAGCTCAGGGGACTTAATAATTAACGAAAACAGTTTTTAATCACCAGGTTTTAATGACACTAACTGAAAGGTCAGAAGATGGAAATCTGCTGCACGACAACACACCGAGCGCGAGGCGGGACGCGCGCACGCGCTCGGTGTGTTATCGACCATATAAATACACGGACACGCCCGCCTGGGTCACTACCCGACCTGCGCCCAACCCGCACCCGCTCTATGTGTGTTTCACGCTTTGAATTGTCCGTACGTTGTTCACTCTTCCCTGGATTGAATTATGTAACTAATGATATTTATAGCACCGACAATACCAATTTTGAGGTAGTTGTAGCGATTGTTCTTTTTATAGTTATTAATTCCTGTCGCTTCTCGAATGGTTTGTCGTCCTCAAGGAATCTCAATGGAAATGTCAAGAGAATAATATATATAATATAATTTTTAGTCAAATTGAAGGCCATAAGACTTATTAATTTACGTCTCAGAGTGACAGGCGCAGTGGGAGTGACTCACAGATCTTTGCGACAAGATAGTCGCTTACCACCAATACCACCAGCCACACGACTTACTCGTCTCAACACTTGGTATCGTAAAAGAAAAATAATAATTATAATAACTACTGTGTGACTTTAAGTGACTGTAGTGTTCGGGATGTCATTTTATAATGTATTTTTGTGCTCTGTGTACTCGGATCAAGACTGATATTTGATTTGAATTAATCGATGTTTTGAATCAATAAAATTACTTGTTCGTATCTCTTGAATAAAAAAAAGTAAACTGCTTAAAGCTTGAATTGAAATGTTGCAACTTAATTATGAGTTAGTCACCATCGAGTCATGTTGGTTAAACCGTCGGACCTGAGGTCAATTTTGCGTGGTCGGAACCAGTTACTTTCAATAGGAAAATTTTGACTTCGTATGTTGTTTTAGACTGCGTTTGTTGTATACGGGAAATTATTATCATATGTTTTTATAGCCACTAATTACGAGCAAAGTCTGCGACCTTAGAAGCAGACAATGATGTTATGTTATTTAGAAAACGTTGATTCATTTACTTGGCGAGATGCATTATAAAATGTTGAATGTTCTCAATTGAATGCGGCAAAACGATAAAAATGGATTACCTAAGACACTCAAGGCAACGAGATGAAATATTGCACAAGATTTTCTATTAGCAATTATAACTTTTATTTAATCGATCTCAAAAGTTTGTGGAGTTACACTTATTTGCCAAGCGTATTTGTAGGTGAAATCGAATAAACCGAATTCATCCCCTAATTTGCCACCCTTAGAGCGATTGCGCACTACGTTCGATTCGTGTCAGTTCCGAATCCGGGAAATGACGGTCCGAAATGTCACAGTGGTGTATTTTATCGTCTCTAGGTATACAAGCGATACCGCAGCCCTCAACGACATCATCCGTCGGGCCTTAGCCACGGTTAACGTGTCTGCTATACTCAAGCCAAGCGGCATGTCGCGAACGGATGGCAAACGCGGACGGAATGACTCTCATTTCTTGCAGCATAGGCTGGGCACTGGTGTGGGACGCCATATGTGTCGACACACTTGCCTCATCTCATCTCCAGCATACCAGAGAGAGGGCTGCTTTCGCAGCTGAGCTGGCGGAAAGAATAAAAAGTAATAAGTACCAGGATCTCGGCTTCGACTACCTATTTCCAGCCTTTGGAGTCGAAACTCTTGGCCCGTGAGGTCCCAATGCCCTTCATTTGTAATTTTGTACAGATTATTTAAAAAATTAATAGACTGTCTGGGAATCCCAAGGGCCGGCAGCTACCATAGTATAGCCATGCAAGGAGGAACGCTGCCAGCATCTTGGGTACCTTGCCGCGGAGACCCAATTTTACTCATATAATTTAAAAATCCTAGTTTTACTTCCTAATATTTACGCTTTTATTGTACCTTACCCGTGTATTGTCATAATAATGAATTAATAAGCGATAATAAGCGAGAGGTGAAATATTTTGTTCGAATTTGAATGGGACAACTAAGATACAGCCTTTTCTACAAAAAAGAGTCATCGAAATCGGTTTACGTACGTCGGAGTGATCTCGTAACATAGACAAAAAAATATAGCCGTATTAAGATTATAATACATGCAATAAAATAAAAGAATCGCGAAAAGAGTCGTCGACCACTTTATCTTCGGCCAAAGAACTATAGGCTATTCTAAGAAATCTCTTTGTATATACCTATCTTCATTTTTAATTCAACAGGCACAAGCTATTCCGCATTCAGTCAGCGTAGATGTTTTGACATATCGTCCAATGTCACTGTGGCGAAATTGTCACGATTACGATAAATTACGAGTAGGAACAATTACAAGTATTACTATCTCTTTCTAACTCATCATGACCTTGATAATTGCAATAAGTTATATCGTTGTTACATAATTATTATTTGTGTGAATTTGGACATCGATTATTCGACTTCCTCTTTTTAAGTACTTTTGTACTGAATAATGGAGTGTCTTATTTTTTACTAGTACAAGAATTAATATCTAAAATTCTTGAAATTACTCAACAATATTCGGTCCGTTCTGAATAGATGCAACGTGTGTGTTGTATGTCACTTTAGAAAATCTTTAGTGGACAGCATTGAAAGTCTTCTTTTTTTTTTAATAAACAGATTTGCTCATATCAAAACACCATACGCCTGCTTGTTGTGAATGACATTTTTTTTAATTAGCTCAATATGCCTAGCAAAGCAAATTATTTTACAATAACATCATAATTATATTGTGGCACCTACGCATGTTTAGCGACATTATTAACAACGTATTATAATTAAACATCTCTGTCATAAGTTCCCAATTTTTTTATGGCTTTTATATTTATTAAGGCAGTAGAAAAGAACTAGACACGAAAAGTTCGTTTTAGAAGAATCCTGTAAATGGAATAATGGCCCAAAAATATGCATAAATGTACCTAATCACAAATAACTTTAAAGATTTTTTTTATTCATGATATCCTACTACTATAATTTTCACATAAAGAAATTCGGAAGGTCTGTCTGACTCTATTTGTGGCTCAGTTGACTAAGAATGTCTCGGTATGGCATCAGACACTGATTCAAGTCCGGTAAGATCGAATTTATTATGGAAAATAGTGACAGACGTAACATTAATAAGAGGAATAAAAATAAACTAACTGTGCTTTACAGTGATCTTTACAAAGTTAGAAATTCACTTAAGGGCTTATGTATCAGAATTTGTTATTTAAAACTAAAGAAAACAAAACCTGTATACTAAAGGTTATTATTATACAGCTTCTGCTTATTTGGATGACAAAAATCCGTAGTATTGACCCGTTTAACTCTTGCAGGTTGTATCTATCTGCGATATTTGACATAAATACAGTAAATGATATGATATGTCCATTTGCAAAGAGCAGCTCCTACAGTTTCTTGCTCGTTCTCCTCAGGAGAATCTGCCCTAGGAATGAACAGTAGAGTTTAGTCGATATGACGGTTTCAAGTGTAATTTGCTTACGTATAAAATAAAGATTTTTTTGTATTCAAATGTAAGTGTGCATTTGACCCCCGTCTCACCTGATGGAATGTGACGATGAGGTCGACTATAGAGCATGCACACCTAAATAATGCCTATGCACTCTCGCCTTGAAAAGGTCCAAGTTACAACGTTTAGGGAACAAGTCTGCAGGCAGGGAATTCCACTCCATAACCGTTCGCCATTTCTTTGGAATATCCATAACATAGGGGTGAAACCCAAGCCTAACTACGCCTAGTCCCCCGATGATGGAAAGGGGAAGGTAGAATTAAATCGTGTAATTCCATCGCACACTCTTCGTGATATATCCTGTAAAATACCGATAACCAGGCATCCCTTGGGTGTTCAAGGCTCTGCAGCTTCACCTCTACTAATTTTGAGTCACATATAAGCTTCTTGGCAAGCTCGTCAATTGAATCCAAGGTGGCCAGTTGGTATGTAGCAGACCCATCCCAAAGGTGGCAGCAGTACGACTCCATACATTTGACTTAATTTGAAAGAATTTTTCTTTATATTCGATCTATGTACCAACAATAGGTAATTTGAAGTATTTTATCGCTCAATTGCTACAACGGTTGGCTCGTGTTTTCCGCTTTAACGACATCAAACCAGAATATCAAGTCCTCCATCACTTGTATCAAGTCATTGAAGGAAAATTATCAATATTTCGTGTAATTATCGATATTTAAGTTTGCTTAAACGCGTTTACGCACACTGTATCCGATTCGTATTCAAATCTAGAAAACTCGTACCCACTTTGGATGTCACTAGTGCGTCGCTTGTACTTGCACTTGTATAAAATGATCCCTGTGACATTTCGGACTGTCATTTCTCGGATTCGAAACTTATACGAATCGGACATAGTGCGCAAATGTTTAAAAAAAAGGAAATCTAGACTAAAGTAATAAGAGAGTACCACATTTAAATTAGCACTATTTCTATACAAAAACTCCACTTTGTCATCAACGCCTACAACAACAGATAGTTTACAAGTCTTGCCTAGTTTCGGATACGAGACTTGTTTTAAGTGACGAGATAAACAAGTCGCATA